CTCTTCCTTTATTCCCAGAATTCATTTTAAAGCCATGCACATCTCTACTAGTCGGTGCAAGTCAAACTTAAAACATGTCTATGCAGTTTCTGACAGCTACAATACTTCACACCAGCCGAAGGCTGCACAAGTAGGTTTTGTACTTAAACAGAAAATGAAGCTATTTTCTGTTTAGATAGGAGAAAAACATCAGTCCAAATATCCCCCAAATCCCAATTTTTTCACTGCATCACACTAAATATAGTAAATAAAGCATTTAGGAATCAAGACTGATTAAGGATACTGGAGCATCCTCTAAGTCATCGCAATGACAAAAGGCGAAGCTCTGGATGGGACTTATGCTCCTAAACTACCCCTGTGGAGTTAGCTGGGGAAACCAAATGTGGCTATCCAGCCAGGATTCCTCACACCAAAACGAAGTGTCGAGAGAAATATTTCTGTGTGCCTTTTCGTGCCTCCTTTAGCATTTCCTGATCATATTCACACCTAAAGGTACTCCGTCCCCCTGCCCCAAAAGGTAAGGGCTGGCCTGAGTTAAGCTGCTGCGCAGGAAGCTCCTTCCGAGCGCACGACATCACGCTTTCTTTAAAAAAGGGCACAAAGCTGATCGCTCTGCAAGGGCACGCAATCTGTTAAATGATTTTTACTGTTTCCACATCCCCAGGAACGGGTTTGCAGATGGAAAGAAAATCCTTGCTACGGAAACTAAAACGCACTGTAGGTTTTTAAGCTAAATTACGTTGGTGGAGAGCAATTACAATAAGAACGGCACGGCACGCTGTTTATTCTATGGGCAAGAGAAAGAGAGGACCCAGCACTGTATATGAAATCCGACACAAAAGAAACCCATGTAACAAAGCAGTATCCATAGCAACAACAACTTAATATTTCAGTCCTCTTCAGCTGCAGTGGATTAAATATAATGACAAGATGTTCCCTTTGAAAAGTAACCTGTTGCCATGACAACGTTGTATTCTGCAAAGTAAACAGGGGCTGGTCAGAAAGAGGTGGAAGCCCGCGACTGAATATCAACAAGGCAAGAAGCTTCTGTAGCAGAGCGGGGCAAAACAAGCACGCTCTAATCCGAGAGGCTTGTTCCAAACCGTTCGGAGAGAAGAGAGGGGATGTTCAGTTCAATAAAGCTTTGTCCTTTCAATTCTAAAGCAACAGGGGAGGTTGGAGGTTCAAGGCCAAAAGCAGCACCAGTGAGAGAAAACAGTTCAGAGGTGAGGACGAGAAAGGAATAGGAGACTGCACAGGGTGACGCAGAGCTTTCATTTATCAGCTTTAGAAAGAGGGAGAGAGGAAGGCAGGCTGGCAACAACAGCTCCTGCATGACTTCCAACACAGAAACAAGTTTAACCCTCTCTGTTTATCATCTACCTCCTTGTCTACACTGTACCCCAGACTCATACCCCTTACACCAAAGCTAACACAACCGGCAGCCTTTGTCCATGAAAGTAACACAGTGTTGCGATGCCAGAATCTGAGCTGCAATGAAGTCCACCAGATCTGTTTTTGAGGATAACTTGGGCTCAGGACTTGCAACACCAACTGCTATTAGGTTATTGCCAGAGCCATACAGGATTCAAGGCTGGAAGCTCGCAGCAAAACCCTCCAGAGTTTGGCGGCAAAAGGCATTTGCAAATTTCTGCGTAGCACTCCTCTGTCCTGTCCTATCTCCACCTTATCCTTGTCATGAATCCAAGCCAGTTCTTTAGCCAGCACACTTAGTGAAGAACTAAGACACTACACCCACGTACACATAACACGGACCTTCAAGGTCAGGGATTGCGCGTACAAGGTGCAACCTTAGAAACTGTGATACTGCTTCTTTCATGTTTTCCTTTCCACTACCAAAGTCCAGCGAGAAACGTGCTACGCAGTAACTGCGTATTATACTGACTTACATGCCTGAGACGGGGTGAGGGAGGTGGTACTACTGCAGGATGACACTGAACCCACTATGTTCATCAGCTCATTTCACCCAGCAACAGACATGGTTTAATCTTGCTCTGCTGTGGTCGCCACACACTGTGCTCTCCACCACATACTGCACTTCCACTGGCCTTCTGAAAAAAAATGCTACTAGCCAGCAACAGCTCAGAAAACATGAAAATAACTTAATGCCACCATTAAGGTTTAAAAAAAAACCAAACAAACAAACCAAAAACCACCACACGCACCACCAAAAACCCCACCACAATCCAAATGCCACATACAGGACAGCATTCTGTGTTACCGTTTTAATCACTTTTAGTGTAATCACTCCTGATTCTCTGTATTGAGGTAATCTGCAACTAAACCAGGTGGACGATTCAAGAGAAAAAGGTTTTTAAATCGGCCAAATCACTCAGCCACAGTCTCTGAGAGCCAAGACCTCTCAGTC